GTCATTATCTCACAGTTAGTGAGTTTGAGCCCCACCTTGGTCTCTGTGCTGACAGTTCAGAACCTGGAGCTTGCTTTGGATTCTGTGTCTCCCTCTCTCTCTGCCCCTCCCCTGCTCACACTCTGTCTCTCTCTCACTCTCAAAAATAAATAAACATTAAAAAAAAATTCAGGGGTGACTGGGTATCTCAATCAGTTGAGCGTCTGATTTTGGCTCAGGTCATGATCTTGTGGTTGTGAGTTCAAGCCCTGAGTCCGGCTCTGTGTTGACAGCTTGGAGCCTGCCTCGGATTCTGTGTGTCCCTCTCTCTCTGCTCCTACCTTGCTCACACATACCCCCCCCCTCTCAAAAATAAATAAGCATTTAAAAATTAAAAAAAAAAATAAATTTAGGGGCGCCTGGGTGACTTAGTCGGTTAAGCGTCCGACTTTTGCTTAGGTCATGATCTCGCGGTTTGTGGGTTCGAGCCCCGTGTCGGGCTCTGTGCTGACTGCCAGCTCAGAGCCTGGAGCCTGTTTCAGAGTCTGTGTCTCCCTCTCTCTCTGACCCTCCCTCTGTTCACACTGTCTCTCTCTATCCTAGAAATAAATAAAAATATTTAAAAATTTTTTTAAACATTTTTTAAATAGATGAATAAAATAAAATCTTAAAATACAAAAGAAGAGTGATGGGGTGGCTCAGTCAGTTGAGTGCCTGACTCTTGATTTTAGCTCAGGTCATGATCCGAGAGTCATGGGACTGAGACCCACACTGGGCTCCACGCTGAGCATGGAGTCTGCTTAAGATTCTCTCTCTTGTCTGCCCTTCTTCTCCACTCATGCACTCTTTCTCTCTAAAAGTAAAAATTTTAAATATTTTAAAAAGTGATCTCCAGCTGATGGTTCATGAAGCACATGTGACCCACAGACTTGCTTCATTTGGCTTTTTATTTGGCCACTGCCTTTGGTGGTGTGAGGGCTGGCAGCCTGCTCCCAGATGGTCTTCAATCAGGGTTTTCCTCACCTTCACAGTATTGACACTTGATCCAGGTAATTCTTGGCGGTGGAAGGCTTTCCTGTATGCTGTAGGATATTTCGCAGGCTCTCTGGTCTCTATCCACTAGATACCAGTACTATCTCCCTAGATGTTACAACCCAAAATGTCTCCTGACATTGCCAAGTGTCACCTGGGTGGGGGGAAGGGGAACAAGAATCTCTGATCTAAGTATCTGCCCCCATTGGAGGTGGAGACTCAGGGATTGTCAGGTAAGAGGCAGCAGGTGGAGCCCCAGGCATGAGTGAGATTGCCCAGGAAAGTGTGTCGGAGAACAAAAGTACTCCAGGACTGACCTCTGAAGAACACAGACAACAAAAGGTCAGAGAGGAAGGCCAGAGGGAGGAAAGGGAAGTCAGATGTGTGTGGAGTCACAGAAGCCAAGCAAAGAGAATGTGTCAAGAAAACAATCAAAATGTCTCATGCTGCCTGCAGGAGGCTGCCCAGTGCCCTTTCATTAAAACATGCAGGCCGTGATTTGGGTGCAACAGCTTCTCTGGTATGCTGGCAGCATGTGGAAGCCTGCAGCAGGGCGCAGTTGCTGGGGAGAGGAGAAAACATAGATGGTTAGAACAGACAGTCCTTTCTGAAAGTCTGGGTGGGCAGGAGGTGCGAGGCAACGTGTGGTGAAGGATGAAGTAGTGGTTGGCTTGGCTGATTGTTTTACGCTGGAAGAGATTTGAAGTTGTTAATGGAAGAAATAGTCTGGGCTTTGTGATATTGTGAATGGTAAAACCTGACAAACACATACCCGCCTTGAAATATTTAGAAATTCAGCATAAAATCAAGTAAACATGCTTTAAAATGTGCAACTGGGTTTCAAGAAAGTAAGGGGAATCCCCGCCCACAAAGAGGAAATTGAAAACCAGAGCTGTGAGGGGGCTGTGTGCTTGTGCAGATCTTGGCAATGAAGGGGCTTGGGTTTTACACCCACCCAGCAACTGGAGATGAGGCCTGGCCTGGGGCATTGAAACCTGAGACCCTAATATAAAGCCCAGTCTCTTAAAGGGTGACATCTTCACTGAAAGAATAGACTAGAAATGGAGCAGCTGGGTGGCTCAGTGGGTCGAGTGTTTGACTTTGGCTGAGATTGTGATCTCACGGTTCTTGGGTTCGAGCCCCAAGTCAGGCTTTGCGCTGGCAGAGAGGAGCCTGCTTGGGATTCTCTCACTCCATTTCTCTCTGTCCCTCCCTCACCTGGGCTCTTCTTCTCAAAATAAAGGAATAAATTAAAAAAAAAAAAAAAAAGAGTTACTAGAAAGAAGAATCTTTCCATTTCCATCATCTCAGAGTATAAAAGAACTCTGTCTGGTTCACCCTGAGATCTCATGGCAATAGAAAATGTCTCCTGAGAGTACATTACCATTGGGTGGCCCTTACCTGGGTTTGGGGTTCAAGTTTACGCCATCTGCATGGTCATGGAAGCCCTGATTAAATGAATATACATAGTCCAGTTTTGGTATCACCCTTGAGGCATCCTTAGCATGAGGAAATCCAGAACCTCTCTAGAAAGACACCTTCCAACCTGGTCACGTGGATTCCCACTGTCAAGGCCCTGTTGACTCTGAGTTCACAGCCCCTAATTAGTAAGCTTAAGAGAAAACCATCTGTCATGGAGGAGAGAAAGCACTCTCGAACTCCAGACAACAGAATTATTAAGTGAAGGACCATACAGTAAGTATATTTTAAGCACCTAAACACTTAAAAGAAGGACTCAGTGTGAGAAACCTTTAACGTAGAGAAAGAGTGGAGCTCCTGGGTGGCTCAGTATTTAAGTGTTGGACTCTTGATCTCTGCTTTTGTCATTATCTCACAGTTCGTGAGTTTGAGTCCGACATCTGACTCTGAGGGTGCTGAGTGTACTTGGATTTTGTCACTCCTTCTTTTAGCCTCTCTGCTGCTTGTGTGTGCTCTCTCTTTCTCAAAAAAGAAATTAATAAATAAACTTTAACAAAATAAATAAAACAAAAAGGAGAAAGGGTAAAACTAATGCCTCTCTTAGTCTACCCACTTAGTCATCCGTTCCCCTGTCTTTGAGCTCCTGATATGTGTGGCCCCTGGTCTGGGTTTGGGAATGTAAAGGTGACTCTGGGCTCTGCATCAGGAAGATCACATTCATCGCTGCATGCACACACCCCTCTTATTTTTTTTTTAAGTTTATTTATTTTTGAGAGAGAGACAGAGAGTGGGGGAGGATCAGAGAGAGAGGGGGAGACAGAGGATCTGAAACAGGCTCTGAGCTGACAGCAGAGAGCCTGATGCAGGGCTCGAACCCAAGAACTGAGACATCATGACCTGAACCGACTGAGCCACTCAGGCTCCCCACCCCTTTTTCACTCAATAGCATGCTTAGAGGTCATAGCTATAGAAGTTGCCATAGGGCATCTTATTCAGCTTTCGACTTTCTTGTCCAGAGAAAGAATGTGAGTCCCAGTTACATAGAAATTACTTTTCTGAAGTCTCCGAGTGAGTGAGTGGCAAAGCCAGATGGAGAGCCGTCGCCTTGCCTCTGCGAGCGCTCGGCAGGCCCGCATCTAAGCTCTGAACACTGTACGTCCGTTTTGTTTCCCTGGTGGGCTGTGTGTTCGCTCCTAGTGCGCAGAGTCCCGTCAGCTGATGGCGACATTGAGAAGTGACACCCTTATCCAGCTCCTGAGTTACCGCGATGGGACGGGGGCCCTGATCTCCATCTTGCGTCAGTTCTGTGTCCTGTGCTGTGGCACCCGCTTCCAGCCCTGTCCTGCCACTGGGGAGCCTGAGCTCCTTGAGCGCCCGGGCCCGGGCTCATTCCTCCACCCCAGGGCCTGGCCCAGGGAAGGTGCCCTGCGGTTACTTTGACTTCTGGCCTCCAAACAGTGAGGTGGGAGGTCCAGGCCCTCCTGAGCAGGAAGGAAGAGCCAACTATTGGTCCCTGTCCAGCAGCACTTCCTGTGTGTGAGCTTGGGAGGTTCCTGGCCCTTAAATAGCACAGGGTAGCTGCTCCCTCTTGCAGAGCTCTCAGTCTGTCTCAGTACTTCCGGGGTAATGTTGCAGGATGGTCCTAGAATGTCTCACACTTTCCTAACACTTGCTGCCCCATCAGTTCTCTTTCCTTTTCACATAGAAAGGGCGTGGGGCACCAGCGTGGCTCAGTCAGTTGAGCATTGACTTTGGCTCCGGTCATGATCTTTTTTTTAATGAATTAATTTATTTTTGAGAGAGAGAGATAGAGACAGCGTGAGCAGGGGAGGGTCAGAGAGAGAGGGAGACTCAGAATTGGAAGACAGGCTCCAGGCTCTGAGTTAGATGTCAGCACAGAGCCCGACGCGGGGCTCAAACCCATGAACCGTGAAATCATGACCTGAGCTGAAGTCGGATGTTTAGCGACTAAGCCACCCAGGTGCCCCAGCTCTGGTCATGATCTTGAGGTTCATGAGTCTGAGCTCCACTTTGGGCTTGTGCTGTCAGCCTGTCAGTGCAGAGCCAGCTTTGGATCTTCTGTTCCCCCCTTTCTGCCCCTCCCTCGCTTGTGCTTTCTCAAAAATAAATAAACATTTAAAAAAATGAGGGGTGCCTGGGTGGCTTAGTCAGTTATGCATCTGACTTTGGGTCAGGTCATGATCTCACGGCTTGTAAGTTCGAGCCCCACATCGAGCTCTGTGCTGACAGCTTGGAACCTGGAGGTTCCTTGGGATTCTGTGTCTCCCTCTCACTCTGTCCCTCCCCCACTCACCCTCTGTCTCTCTCTCAAAAATAAACATTAAAAAAATTTTTTTAATGAATAAAAAAAGAAAGAGCAGATGTTTGGGACAATGAATGCTTCCAGCAGGGAGGGAACAATGTCTTCTTAGAACATATCATCTTTGCTTAATCTTGTATTTATTTTCATGGTTTACTTTCCATTTATGGCAACTGATAACTGGTTTTCCATTTGCAGAAGTGATACGAAAAAATGTTCTTTTTAAAATAAATTTATTAAACAAATAGTAAATTATCTTACAGAAAAATATAAAGTAAATAATAATACAGGTGGTAAAGTGATAAGGCAAAAATCCTAACATGCATGACTGAATGTTTGGGAAATCGGACCCCCCGGGAATGCAGCTCCTGGCTCTCCTCCTGAGGGGAGGCCAGCTGATACAGATGGCTATAGAATCAAGGACAAATCTGAGCTCCATTTCTATGGGATGGAGCATTATAAATAAGCCTGTCGTGGGGCAAATCCGTCAGCCTGGACTGATCCAGCAAGCTGGGAGGGAGGATGGCCAGAGGCCTAATACTGGGAACTGCTCTGCCCTGTGACAGTGTTCCTTTCCACACTGGATCAAACTCCGATCGCGTCGGCCAGCCTCCCTCGCCCTGGAGGGTCAGAGTCTGAGGGCTGCCATGTGTCAGCCTTAAGGGGACCGCTGCCCGCTGATCTCCGCTGACTCGAGGCCCCAGCTGGAGGCAAGGAGGGGCCTCTCCGATTTGGCTGACCAGGCTCCCTGTTGCAAGATGGGGTCAAAGTTACAGTTTGGACGTAATATGGTGCTCCTTTGCCTGCTCTTGACCTTTGTCTGTGTTTTCCTGGAGGCCTGATCTGTGGCTCTGGGAGGCTGGCTTCCTGTTCTCTCCTGCTGGCAGGACTGACCCTCATCATCCACACTCAGTCTGTTCTTCGGCATCCACAGGACCCCTGCACTCCGATGTCAGCGTCTTAGGTGCACAATGAAGGAAGGTGGAAGCTTCTGGGATGATGCTATTTCCTGCCTGTTTGTTATCTTGAGATCCTTCTTAATCTAGAACGTGATTTTGGCGGCTTCTGGCCCATAGACGGCCCCACCCCTGATTCTCTGTGCCGCGGCCCTGGACAGCCAGACAGACACTTCTGGGCTTCCCCTGCCGTACAGACTCTGTCCATACAGTGCCTGCCCAGCCCCAGATCCAGGGGATTGAAATCCAGATGTAAAAGGCCTTGGGAGGGGCATTCTTCCCTGAGGGCTCAAGTATGAACTTGGGCTCTTGGGGTGGAGCCTCAGGTCTTAAGGCCTCAGAGAGACCCTCTGAGGTAGGGCCTTCCTCAGGTGTCTCGGAGAGGCCAGTCCTCCAGGCCCTGGAGAATCAGAACCCCACACTGGCTCGACCTTCCCGCCTCCAGAAAGCTGAGATTTCCTCCAGGGTGACCCGTGGCTGGAGACCCCACTCAGGATCAGGGCTCCCTAGCCGCTGCCTCCGGGGCTGGGGGCTTCCCAAGTGCATACTGGCCTCTGGCCTCAGTTCAGGCTCAGCCCAGCTCACCAGGCCCCGGGTGTAGGGCCTCTCCTCCAAAGCCTGGGGCCCCCAGAAGGTGCTGCGAACTGGGGCCCTGGGTGGGCTCTGGAGGGCCAAGGATCTGGGAGGGGAGAGTGGAGCTGTCGGGGCAGGTGGGGCTGTGGCTCGGGCCTCCAAGGTACCCCCAGGGGTGGGAGGATCTGGGGCCCCGTCCATCAGCAAGGGGACCGCAGAGCCATACCAGTCTTCTGAGCGTTCTCGGGGAGTGCCCCTGGGCTCGATCCACAGCTCTCCTCCAGGGCGCCAGACCAGGGTGGGTGCACGGTAGCTGGGATCTGGTTGTAGAGAGCGGCGGAAGAGGCGCTCGGCCAACACAGCTGTGGTTAGGAGGAAGAGGGCGGCCAGGGAGGCCAGGCCCAGCATGATGGGGATGCAGAGCCCACAGGGCGGTGGGGGCCATGTAACCAGCTCCGGCTCAGGGAGCCCCTCCATGTGCCCAGAGGGCTGCTCTGGGGTTGAAGGCATCTGAAGAGACAGGGGGTCAGGAGAGGAAGCACATGAGGAAGGGTCAGCACTACCTACAGGAAGAGAGAGCCAGCGTGTGTCCACACCAGAATGAGAAGACAGAGGCGTGACGGGCTCCATATCAGAGAAAGGAGCAAAGGGGGCCCCGAACGGTGAGAGACAGGCGGAAGCCCAGAGAGCCAGTGTCCCATCTGGGTCAGCGGCTGCCCCTCTTGCTCAGGCTCTCGAACCTGCTTCCAGGAGCCCTGTTTCCCCGGCCGCCCAGATCCCGGGCGCCTCAGACAACACTGTAAGGGCCCCAGGGATTCTTTCCTGCTTGCTTGGGCCTCAGAGGAAGTGGTGGGTGCGGAAAGGAGAACCTCCCTTCTCGACTCCCACCCTGCATGTGCGCCCCCCTCCCACCTCTGGCTGGCGCCTTGGGTGCTTCTGTGCCCTCACGGCTCTCCCTGGAGCTGGTCTTGCTCTCGGCAGGTTCCACTGAGCTTGCTTCCTGCCGGGATCCGGGCGCCGCCTCTGCACCTGTCCCCGCCTCTCGTCTCTGGGCCTGCCCTGGCCCTGGCCAACTATACCTCCCTTGTTTGTCTCTGCCGGCTCTCTCTGCCCCCCAGATCCCCCACCTGCAGCGGCCTCCTGCCCACCTCACCTTACGTCAGGGCAGCCCCAGGGCTCCTGGCTCTCCCTTCAGAGCACTCCTCCCTGTGCAGGGTGCCGGGCAGATGAGGCCGGAAGGGAGGGCACCACCTGTTGCTGGGCAACTGTGCCCCAACTCCTCTTGCCCCTGGGGAGTGTTTCCAAGGCAACCTGGGGGGGATGTGGTCAATGTGGTGGGGAGGCGTTTCCTGGTGAGAGGTGGGGCCGGAATGGGCAGTGGTTGTGTTGAACTCGGTCTCACCCCGTAGCCAGGCCCCAGGCCTCTCGCTCTGCCTGCTCTCCGGTGGTTGTCCTGGCCCTGGCCTGGCCACTGCGCCCCACCGAACCTGCCCCCGCCATCCAGCCACACCCCCCTCCTGCTTGGCCAGCCTTCGCCACACTTTTCATGAACATGCATCTGTCTTCAGACCATTTAGCCTCAGTTTGGGTTGGAACCCATCTGTGAGGTGACGCTTGGGCAGCACAGAGTAGGCTTCTTGGGAGAATTTGGGTACAAATCCAGGCTCAGGCCTGCCTCCAAGACCCTGAATATTTGCCATCCCGGCTCCCTTCCCCTGGGGTGAGGCTCAGAGGAACCTGGGAGCACTGAGTGAGGAGGGAGTGTTGTTCAGCCACTCGGGTCCCTTCGGAGATTGTCTAGTTCGACTTGCTCGCTGACAGATGACAAGCAGTCCCTGCACATGGACGGTGTTGTGCCCAAAGTTCTACAACCCATGGATATGGGAGGGACGGGAGAAGCATAGATACAAATTCCTGGTCTGGTAAGCAACCTGAAGACAATTCTTTTTTTTTTTTTAAGTTTTTTTTTTAATGTTTTATTTGTTTCTAGGAGAGAGAGAGAGAGACAGCTTGAGCAGGGGAGGGTCAGAGAGAGAGGGATTCACAGATTCTGAATCAGGCTCCAGGCTCTGAGCTGGCAGTCAGCACAGAGCCCGACGCAGGGCTCGAACCCACGAACTGCGAGATCATGACCTAAGCGAAAGTCAGACGCTTAACCGACTAAGCCACCCAGGCGCCCCAAGACAATTCTTATTAGGTGTGAATATTTGTTTTTGCAAAATGATAGCCATTTCATGAGAAAGGCTACAAAAATATGTTGAAATGCTAGTGTCTTATAAGATGGTCACAGGGCAGCCTGACTCACATTGCTCTGTCCTGGTGGTTTTGAGGAATGGGCCAGAAGGAGCACAAAATGTGGCATGGGATGGGGGTAGGTGGAAATGGAGAGTCCAGAGGTTCCTGGCTTTAGGACATATGCCGAAACCTGACGTGATTATAATTTGATGAGATCGTAAGCCTTAAAATAAAATCTGAACTTGATACCACTGAACTGGACACACACACACAAAAAAAAATGGTTAAGATTGGGGCATCTGCCTGGCTTGGTCGGAATAGCACGTGACTTTTGATCTCGGGGTCATGAGATCAAGTCCCACATTGAGTGTAGAGATTACTAAAAAAATAAACTTACAGGGAAAAAAACGTTAAAGAGGCACCTGGGTGGCTCAGTCGGTTGAGCATCTGACCATTGATTCAGCTCAGGTCATGATCTCCTGGTTTGTGGGTTCAAGCCCCAAATCGGGCTCCACACTGAGTATGGAGCCTACTTGGGATTCTCTCTCTCCCTCTCTCTCTGCCCCTCCCCCACTTGCTTGCTTGCTTGCACGTGCACACACACACTCTCTCAAAATATATAAAGTAAAAAAAAAGGTTAATATAATAAATTTTATTACATGTATTTACAGCAATAAAAATTTTTAAGACTAAATAAATAAAATCTGAAAATTATGTGTATTCTGTTTTAATTAGTCATTTCTTAAAAATAAAACAAAAAACAAAAAAACCAGAACACTAAGGACACCTGGCTGGTTCAGTCAGTGGAGCATGTGACTCTTAATCTCAGGGTTGTGGGTTCAAGCCTCATGGTGGGTGTGGATCCTACTAAAATAAAATTTAAATTGAAAATTTAAACAAAACCAAACAAAACACTAGAAGGGTAAACATTATTAAAACCAGGAAGTTGCAAAAGGATCTGGAATCAAAATTGGATGTTTTAAGCTCATTTAAAAAATAGCTTAACATTTTGGGGGGTACCTGGGTGGCTCAGTTGGTTAGCCATCCAACTCTTGATTTTGGCTCAGGTCATGATCTCATGGTTCATGAGCCCCATATTGGGTTTCATGCTGACAGTGTGGAGCCTGCTTGGGATTCCTTCCTTCACTCTTCCTGGATCCCACCTGTCCCATGTAGCCACCTCTATACCTTAACAGTTCTCTGCAGCCCAAGCTCATGGGCAACATCAGAAGATAATGCGACCCGGGGTGCCTGGGTGGCTCAGTCGGTTGAACATCAGGTCATGATCTCACAGTTTGTGAGTTTCAGCCCTGCATTGGGTTCCTCTCTGACAGTGTGGAGACTTCTTGGAATTCTCCCCCTCTCCTTCTCTCCCTGCACCCCCTTGTTTTCTCTCTCTCTTTCTCTCCTCTCAATAAATAAATAAATTTAAACAAACTTTAAAAAGAATTGAAAAAAAAAAAAGAAGATGGGGGAGGAGCCAAGATGGCGGAACAGAATGAAACTCTTTTTTCTGTCTTGGATACATGAAATGCAACCAGATCAACACTAAACCATCCTGCACACCTAGAAAACTGATTTGAGTATTAACACAACAATCTGCACAACCTGAACCACAGAACTTAGCAGGTCTGTGGTGCGGAGAGGTGAAGTGGAGATAAGTGCCATGGAGGACAGGGAATTGTTTTTGCTTGAGGAGAGAGGACAAAGATGGGGAGAGAGTATGGAAAAGCACCCCCACAAAAGCAGCTGAAGAGAAAGTGGAAAAGTGGAAACAGCTGCAGAGACTGAACTAAATAAAAAGGGAGAAAGGAGAGGGTTTAAATTCCACTAAGACTCTATAAACAGGGGGAGTGCAGAGTCTGAAACTCTGCAGCTCAAATTCCTAGCGGTGCCCTGGTGGGAGGGGCGAATTCCCAGGAGCAGAGTGGTTCTGGGAGGCCCTTGGGCCATGCATGATTTTCCATAACCCTGGAAACGCTGCTGCTACATGATCACATGAACTTTTTCTGGGGTAAGCTGGCACCAAGCCGCAAGTCTCTAGATATCGACAGCAGGAAGGTCCTGCGAATGTTCCTGGGTGCGGCCAGCACCTGGCTATTGCTCAGTGAGACCCTTCCCCAGAGGATCTGAGTGGGTCAAAGCCACAGTTCCTCAGAAGTGAGGGGTCAGGAAACACAGCCGCATCTCAGATAAAACTCAGGAGGGAGGTGCCGCCTGGCAACTTGATGGCATGGTTACAGACAGCGTAAAATTGGGGAGTGGGTGGAAACCTGAGACAAAGGATGAGTGTGCGATTCCTGGTTAGGGAGAGCACAGAGTTCTGATACTAGATTGTAGCTGGGTGATGCCATTTTCACCCTGTGCTTGCACGTGCATACACCCCTACAGGCCCCACAACAATCCACCCCAGTAAGCTAAGCAGGCCCATCTAGAGGAGAACAGAACCATTACACTAAGCCCCTCCCAAATGGGCCAACCTCTTCAGGAACACCACAATCTCTCCGCGTGCTTAGTTTACAGGCTATAAAGTGCTTCATAGTTTGACTTCTAGGGGAAAACGATGTAATATCAATTGTATTTCAGTCTGTTTGCTGGTCCATCTGTTCAATTTTCTTTTTTCTTTCCTTTCTTTTACTTGAATGCAGAAAGAGAAAAAAATTATTTTTATTAAAAACATTTTCCTTTATTTTTTAACTACATTTTTTGTAGATTTTTCAAATTCTATTTTACTTCCATCATATCAAGTTCTATTTCATTGTATTCATTTTCTCAAATTTTCAAACTTTTTTTCTTTTTTTTTTCTCTTTTTCCTCTAATCAATCAAACTCCTTTCAATAACCAGACTAAAACACACCTAGTTTCTAGCATCATTTATTTAATTTTGTGTTATGTGTGTGTTGTTTTCAATTTTTTAAATAAAATTTTTACCTTATTAATTCCTTTTCTTCCTTCAAAATGACAAAATGAAGGAATTCACCCCAGAATAAAGAGCAGGAAGAAATGACAGCCAGGGACTTAACAAACACAGATACAAGCAAGATTTCTGAACCAGAATTTAGAATCATGATAATAAGAATACTAGTTGGGGTCGAAAATAGATTAGAATCCTTCTCTACATTGGGGCGCCTGGGTGCCTCAGCCAGTTGAGCATCTGACTTCAGCTCAGGTCACGATCTCACGGTTCGTGGGTTCGAGCCCTGCATCGGGCTCTGTGCTGACAGCTAGCTCAGAGCTTGGAGCCTGCTTCAGATTCTGTGTCTCCCTCTTTCTCTGACCCTCCCCTGCTCATGCTGTCTGTCTGTCTCTCTCTCAGAAACAAATAAAACATTTTAAAATTTTTTAAAAAAGAAAGAATCCTTCTCTACAGAGATAAAAGAAGTAAAATCTAGTCCGGATAAAATTTAAAAATGCTGTAACTGAGCTGCAATCTCGAATGGCTACCACGGTGGCAAGGATGGATGAGGCAGAGCAGTGAATCAGCGATATAGATAGAGGACAAACTTACAGAGAATAGTGAAGCAGAAAAAAGGGGGAGAGTAAAGCAAAAGAGCACGATTTAAGAATAAGAGAAATCAGTGACTCATTATAAAGGAACAACATCAGAATCAGATGGGTCCCAGAAGATAAAGAGAGAGAAAAAGAGGTAGAAGGGATATGTATGCAAATCATAGCAGAAAACTTTCCTAACCTGGGAAAAGACACAGACATCAAAATCCAGGAAACACAGAGGACTCCCACAGATTCAACAAACCGACCATCAACAAGGCATATTGTAGTTAAATTCACAAAATACTCAGGCAAGAAAGAATCATGAAGGCAGCAAGGGAAAAAGTCCTTAATCTACGAAGGAAGACAGATCAGGTTTGCAGCAGACCTACC